TCTCCAGACCAAAGACGAAGCGTCGAGGCTGTCGGAGGAAGGCGCCGCAGCCATCCTCGAGGAGCTCACCATCTTTGTCAAGTAGTGACAAGTTTTCGAGAGGCGGCCGCTCGCAAACGCCCAGAACATCTTAGACTCCAGACAAGTCATTGAGCCGACGCACCGGAAGAGGTCGGGGGGCAAGACCGCCGGGATCACCCGGCGCCGCATGCCTCTGGGAGGCGCCCGCGACATGGGCGCAGACATGGGCGCAGGGCCCTCGAGACGTTCGCTGGCGCGGCGAAGCGGGCGTCGCAGCGCGCGCTGTCCTCTCAGGCGGCGCGTCGCCCAGGCCCCGCGCGCGTCGCCGTAGACATCGAGGGGCTCTTCCTGCAGATCATGGCCTACGCCGAGATGCAGGAGCGCGGCTGGGCACCCCGCGACCCGCGAGGTGAACTTCACCCTTCCGCCCAGCAGCGCAGCCGTCCTCAGGCAGGCGCCAGGCTGCGAGTGCGTCGACGAGCGGGCCGAGTCCATGCGCCGCATCGAGCCGGGCGCGGGCTGCAAAGACGCGCCCAGGGCTTTTCCCGCGAAGCTCGCCCAGGCCATGCGCTCGCCCGAGCGCGGCGCCGAGCCGACGTGGCGGAGCCCGCGGCTCGAGGTCAAGCGCGAGGCATCTGGTGCCGACGGCGCTGGCAGCTTGGAGCAAGTGCTCATGCTGTCCAGGCGCGTTGACGATCTGAAGATCACGGGGCGCCGGGAGCACGTTGACCGGCTAATCGGCCACGTCGAGGGCGTCTTTGCGACGATTTCGCCAGCTGCAGAGTACAACAGCACCGCAGTGACGATGGAACAGCGGCCCCCGACCAGGACGAGTGCGTCGACGCCCTGATACCGACGGGCCAGCGGAGGTCAATTTCCAGACCTCCTCGTCTCTCTCGTCGGAGCAGCAGCATGCGCTCTGCTTGGCCAAAACCATGTCGCCGTGTATATGGTCGCTCTGCAGATCCAAGAACAAGTTGCTCATTTGTCGCGCGATGCAGGTCAACCCCGCGGCCGTGACCGCGCAGAAGATCAAGGCGCGCATCGCCTTCCCAACCATGGGGTGCGCTGGGCGACGATGCGCACGCAGTGACGGGTCGTTCAAGAGGGAGGAGACCTGTTACGGCATGAGGGGAGACATATACATGCGTTTGTGCAAGTGCCGCAGTTCTGGTGAACAGTCATGCCACTTGCTTGACTCTGTGAGCCGATCGCACAAGCTGGCGCGCCGATCGTCGCGTGGCTCAGAGCTGCCCGCAGCCTGCGGGGCAGCCGGCGGCCGACAGGCGCACCTCCAGACGCTCCTCGAGATGGTGCGCGGACCTGCTTCACCCGAGGAGATCTGGGGGCTGGGGGAGGAAGGTGGCTGCGCTGTGCCGGCCGAACTGGTTCTTGACGGCACGTCCGTTTTCGATGCTCGGGCAGTGGATCCTGTTCGACCACCCTCCGATGTCAGCATGGCCGGCCACCCTTGGCGCCTATCAGACCAGCTCCGCACCGAGCAGATCGACGACATCTTTTAGTGCGACACGCGAGTCATGAATCACGAGAGCCGACGCCATGACGAAATGGAGCATCGGCCAGGAATTCCTTCTCAACATCGTGGGCGGGAAGTTCAGCTACGACCACGCGGCAGTCAGGCGAAGCGAAGAGCGGCGCAATATGACGGTGCCGAATTCTTATCGTAGCAGTCTCACCCGTGAAGGCAGTATAACGAGGTCACCGGTTCGCCCAACACCACGGGCAAAGGCGACCCGGGCTGGCACAGCGTGGCACAGCGCAGCTCACGGTCCCAACGGTGGCGAAGGACGAAGCAGACGCTCGCATCTCGCGAAACTTGTTCGCGACTGCGACATAGTGAAGCATGCATGTGAGAAGGCTGCTTCCATGAACTATGTTCGTGGAGCAGCTGGCGGTTAAAACTGGGGCTTGCAAGTGATTGAGGCCGTGCTCTATAAATTGCCAGTTGCTTGCAAGTTGCCTTGAGGGACGTGGTCAGTAGAACGCCTTCCCTTGATAACTTGCTTTGGCTTCGTTGGTTTGTGCACGGTTTGCGTGCACGGGTCGACGAGGCACAACAGACGCGCCTTGAGCCGTGCCTTGTGTAGCCGCGTTTCACCCTATTCATATTGGCCTCAAATTTGACATTAAAACACAACACACTATCATGATACCGGAAAAAAAACCCAATCCTAATCTTTTTAGGGCTGTAGGGCCATATGGTTATATGGGCTATAGGGCCATTGAGCTATAGGGTAATAAAGCTACGGGGCTATAGGGTATATGGGGTGTAGAGCTATAGGGCTATCCGGCTATAGGGCTTCAGGACTATTGAGCTATAGGGTTTTAGGCCTATAGAGCTATAGAGCTGTAGGGCTACAGGGCTGTAGGGCTATTGGGCTATAGGGCCATAGAGCTACAGGGCTATAGGGCCCCCCCGGGCACACCCGGGCACACCCGGGCACCCGGGCACCCGGGCACCGAGGTACCCCCGGGCACCTGGGCACCCGGGCGTGCAGCGAAAATTGGCGACAAATTTAACCGAACCATATGAATCCGCTAGGACCCCTACAGAGGCAAGCTCTGATTGGGGAATCATGACTCTTTACTCTGAGTCTCTTCTTCCTCCTTCTTCTCCTGCTCCTCGTGCTCCTCATCCTCACGGCCGCCTAAGCATGCTGAAACTTCCATGCCCGACTGGCGCCGGGCAGGGGAATCCGCACCGCGGCGTCCCAAAATGGCAGACATCGGCGCGGAGTCCCAGATGACGGAATCGGACAAGGCGACAGGAGGGCGAGGATATTAAGGAGGAAGGGGAGGAGGAGGAGGAGGAGGAGGAGGAGGAGGAGGGGGAGGAGGACAAGGAGGACAAAAATGATGTCGAGGTGGACATGGATGAGATGAGGACCCAGTGGATAAGGAGGTCGGGGTCGGAGCAGGAAGAGAGGGACGAGGAGGAGGACGGGGACAAGGATGACAAGGAAACGGGGGGTGGGACGAGGAGGAAGAGGAGGAGGAGGAGGAGGATGACAATGATGGCAAGGAACATGACACGGGAAGTGGTTGAAGAGGGGAGGGGAGGGGGAATGGAAGGGAGGAGGAGGAGGAGGAGGACGAGGAGCAGGAGGATGAGGATGTTATACAGGGTTATGTTGGTTGTTGGTCTTAGCCCGGTTTCTGGCGCATGTTGGACCAATTGACTGGCCGACTGGGCCGAAGTGGCCGCACGAATTAGCAAACATGTTAGATTTTGCAGCGCAGCCAAGGGAAACAATTATGGCGCTACCAGAAGAAGGCAGCTTAAAACTTAGGCAGTCGAGGGTGCAACCATGGCGCATGTCGCAAGTTGTGGCGCAACAGATGGCGCACCCTGTGTCGCAAGTGCGAGTAAGGAAAGAAACAACGGAGGGGACGAGAAGGAAAACGACGACCACGTCGACGAGGCCAAACGCCGAGGACGAGCAGGCGGGCGGGGCACGACGCAGTTTCCCTTCACACCTTCCGCGGAGCTGCGTCCGATCTGAGCTCGCCGTTCGCCGTCTGGCCTGCGGGGCGCTGGGGCGCAAGCAGCGAGCTGCTTCATGATGTTCCGCGGTCTGGTGGTGGCTTTGGTGGGGGTGTAGGGCGTTCTACGTGGTTCTGCGGGGAGGAGGAGGAGGAAGAAGAGGAGGAGGACCAGTGTAACCCCAAGAGTCACCAACGATGTTGGAATACACCCTCCCCCCGAGCTCCCTCTTCACAGGCGTCTGCAACAGTTCATTTCCACAGAGAGACCTGTCTCGTTGGGAGACAACCGTTTGCAGACCTTGAAGCATGCCTAAACATTATTCTCGGGACTCCAACGCCACGGATCAACCTGACTGTTGCGTCTTGACGACACTGAATCGTGCCAGAACGCCATTCTTGGGACTGCAACACCGCGAACCATCGTAACTGCTGCACCCTCATAATCGCGAATATTCCAGAATACGATTTCTGATACGTCGATCATGGGAATCCGTGAAACTCTTGCAATTGTTTAAAGCGAATGTGCGCGGCGCTAAAGAGAGAACCACAGTTTGAAAATAAACGGCCCTAAATCTGTGCAAGTTGTGCAGTTTGTTCAGACGAATGTGCGCGGCGCCAAGGCGAGAGCCACATTTTGAAATCGACCCGCCCCCAACCCGAGAAACTTTTGCATTTGTTCAAACGAATTTGCGCGGCGCTAAGGCGAGAGCCACATTTTGAAAACCACACGCCCTTGATCCGCACAACTCTTGCAATTTTTCGAAACGGATGTGCGCGGCGCTAAGGCGAAAACCACAGTTTGAAAACAACCCGCCCTCAATCCGTGAAGCTCTTGTTAAATGTTTGAACGAATGTGCGCGCGATAATTCGAGAGCCACATTTTGAAAACCACCCGCCCTCCATGTGCGGACCTGTTGCCAGTTGTTATGCTTTAGGGTCATAGGTGGCGAGGAAGTCTCAGGCGAAACGCCCGGACCGCCCTAAAAACTTGCCTCGTGGTGCGACAGGGGGAAGTTTTTCAAAAGGAAAAGGAATGGAAGAGGAGGAGGAGGAAGAGGAGGAAGTGCCCGCGAGGAGATGTAGCTGAGAGGGAGAATCGTGATTCGCGTGCTGGCCAGCATTGCTAGCCAATCGCTTGGATTCGGTACGGTGGGGGCGTCGGTTAAGGAGTGTGCCCAGGAGGCTTCAGTCCCTGGAGGATTCCTTATCTGACGAGGGCGGCGGTAGAATCCATGGCCAGTCCACGATTGGAGCTGCACCGTCCTCCAGACCCTGGATTCCTTATCCAACGGTTCCTTCCTTATCCAATTGTTCCTTATTCAGTGCCCTCACCGTATGCAGCTGAGCGTTCGGCATCATGGGCATCGCCAGCTTTCCACAGCCCTTTGGCTCAAGCCATTTTGGCTTTGGCACAGTGCAGCCATTCGGGATATACGCGTATACACGCGCGCTGTTGCCGCCGGCTAGGGTCGATGGGCGGCAGCAGCAGTAAGGCCGCGGGCGCCGTCGCTGCCTCGAAGTCTCCTGCGCCATGTCGGCCCATAGTCATGTCGGGCCCGAGTGGCACTGGCAAGAGCACGTTAATCCAACGGATAATGAAGGACCACCCAACGGACTTCCGCTTCTCGGTGAGCCATACGACGCGACCGCCTCGTACAGGAGAGCAGGACGGAATTCATTACCATTTCACAGACGTGCCGACTATGCAGAAGATGATTGAGGAGGGCAAGTTTGTCGAGCACGCCAACGTCTACGGTAAGTATCCAGGTGCTTGCAGCAAGTTCCGCCAGCGTGCCGGCGCAGTACTCCGTGTGGCGTCTTTTCGAGAGTTGCGCAGAAGAACATAACATGTGACAGTTCTCGTCCCCAGGCTCGTGGGGGCCGTCACGTGCAGCTCGCCCTTCCGCAGGCTCGAGACGACCTTAAGACGTGATAGTTGACCTCCTCAGGGCCCACATGGCCGTAGCAAGTGATTCCCCTCTTCCCCAGATCCACGTTTGCTGGGGAGTAAGCCTCCTGGCGCCTCTAGGTGATCTGGAAGTCTGTCTTGCGGCGTTTCGCCGCTCTCTGGGGGCCATCTTGGGCCATCCAGGCGGCTTCTAGGGCCCTCTTGGAGCCATTCGGAGGCCCTCTTGCGCCCCCTAGGTTCTCCTTCGGGTCTCTGGAAGGGTCATGTCTGGCCGTTTTGAGCCCATATGAGGCCGACGGGAGGTCTTCTTGGGTTGGGAAGCTTGAGAAGCAGAAGTAATCAGAGCGGCTTGCGTCTTTTGGTGAGACCCTCTCATGGCGCCTCTCGGGTCTGCTCTCGGGCCACTTTGCGGCCTCTTGGGTCGTCTTCTCTGAGGCCTTGCCAGACAGCGCTTGGCATTATCAGATTGAGGGGGCCGAACGCTCATTCACTGTCCCTGGGCGCGTGGCTGAAGTGATGTTCTGCGGTGCGGATTGTTGTTGTTGCTGTTGTTGCTGTTGTTGCTTGTTTCTGCGGTGCAGGGTCTTGCTATCAGTTTTATGTCTGTCGCCGTGATGTTGCTCAAGGTAAAAGCCCTAGCATGATTACCGGGTCCACCTCGAGTGTCGCGATAGTCTTCGCCTTGTTGAGTGGGTGTGTCCATCAACCCAGCCAACTGGATCGGTGACGCCTTCTCGGGTGGTCTCGCTCTCGCTCTGCGGACCAGCAGCACTACCAACACGACGCTGACCAGCACCTCCACGAGCGGGGGCACCACTCCGCCTCCCTTTTCCTGCAGGTGTCCAGCCGCTGTGCCAGAGAACTTCCACGTCCTGGCCAAGGGCATGAAGGGCTGGCCGCTGCGTGCGCGAGAATGCGCGGGCTAGCGCGGCCGCAGAGATGCATCAGCCAACACCCAGCCCTCATCGCGATCGCTTCCGCATGGAGTTTGGACCAAGTTGCGGGTGGGTGGGTGGGGTGTGTGCGCGAGCACAGGAGTGGACAATTTCAAGTTGAGCATTGGTGGATTCTCCTTTCTAAAAACAGAATAGACTCTACCCCCCCCCGGCGTTCGCCGCGCCCCTTTCGGGTATGTAAACCATTTATGATTCTGACCACATGTTCATCCTAAACATGAATTTACACTATCCCCGGGGGGCCGGTATCGGCCCCCTGAGGTTCCTTAGTAAAAAACGATACGCGGGGACATCTTTTGTTCTAACATAGCACTTGTTTCACGAATCCCTTGCACAAAAATGGGACGAAGTGCACACGCGCGCGTCGTCGCGCGCGCATGCCGAAATCCTTCAAAAACCTTCGGTGTTGGAAGGATTTCGCAATCGAGTTTCCAAAAAGCATACAAAAACATAGGGTTTCGCAACACTGATTTGCTAAAAGAGCTTACGCGCGAGCTCTTGCGAAATCTTAAGAAAACCATCGGTTTTCAAGATTTTCACAGAATGCTACTAAACGGGCTTCACGCGCGCGCATGTCGAAATCTGTCGAACGCCCTTGCGCGTGTGCCGTCGCGAGAATCCTCTGCAAAACATGGGAGGAAATGCAGACGCGCGCGTCGTCGCGCGCGCATGCCGAAATCCTTCAAAACCCATCGGTTTCGGAAGGATTTCAAAATCGTGTGTCCAAAAAGCCTACAAAAACACAAGGTTTCGCAACACGGATTTTCAACAAAAGCTTGCGTGCGCGCTCTTGCGTCGTCGTCGTCGTCGTCCTCCCTCCTCCCGCGTCGTCGTCGTCGTCGTCGCCTACGTCGTCCTCTGTCTTTCCTCGTGTTCGTCGTCGTCGTCCTCTTTGCCGTCGTGGTCGTTTCCGTCGTCGTTGTCGCCGTAGTCGTCCTTCCTCCTCCTCCCTCGTCGTCGTCGTCGTCCGTCGTCGGCGTCTCGTCGTCGTCCCTCCTATTTCGTCGCCGTCGTCGTCGTCGTCGTTGTCGTCGTCGTCGTCTCCCTCCTCCCTCGTCGTTGTCGTCGTCGGCGTCGCCGCCGTACTCCTTCGTCGTTCGCGTCGTCGCCGTCCTCCCTCCTCCCTCGTCGTTGTCGTCGTTGTCGTCGTTGTCGCCGTCGTCGTCCTCCCTCCTCCCTCGTCGTCGTCTTCGTTGGCGACGTCGTCGTCGTCTTCGTCGTCGTGGTCGGCGTCGTCGTCGTCGCGTCGTCGTCGTCGTCGCCGCCGTCGTCGTCGTCGTCGTCGTCGTCGTCGTCGTCGTCGGCGTCGTTGACGTCGTCGTCGTCGTCGGTGTCGTCGTTGTCGTCGTCGTCGGCGTCGTCATCGTCGTCGTCGCTGTCATTGTCGTCGTCGTCGTCGGCGTCGGCGTCGTCGTCGTCGGTGTCGTCGTCGTCGTCGTCGTTGTTGGCGTCGAAGTCGGTGGAGACGTCGTCGGTATCGTCGCCCAGCTGGGATGCGCCCAGCAGTCAGCGCCACCGCGGCCGCGTCGGTCGCGCCAAACTAGCTGGCCGCTGCGCGCGCGCTTGGGTGAGGGGGGCCGCAGAAGTGGGCCAGCTAACTCCAAACACTCATTGCAATCGTCACCACATGGGTTTTGCAAGCCAAGTTACGGGTGGATGTTTGCAAGAGCGTGGGATGTGCCGCTCATTTGTTAAAATAAATTCTCCTTTCTTAAAAGAGAATCGACTCTACCCCCCCTGGAGTTATCGCTACCCCTTTCGGGTATGTAAATCACATATGATTATGATCACATGTCCATCCTAAATATGAATTTACACTATCCCAGGGGGGCCGGTATCCCCCCCTGAGGTTCCCTTGCAATTATCCCGGCAAAGCAACCTAACAGCGATGTGTAGGAGCATATTTGGAAGCATTTCCCTTAAGATTCAGATGATAATCCAGTTGTAGAATTCTGCTGTTCTCGCAGTCGTAGTCGCATTCGCGATGACAGTCGCAGTGGCAACGGCAGTCGCAGTCACAGCCTCAGCCTCAGCCTGCCTCAGCCTCAGCCTCAGCCTGCCTCAGCCTCAGCCTGCCTCAGCCTCAGCCTCAGCCTGCTTCAGCCTCAGCATCAGTCTGCCTTCAGCCTCGGCCTCAGCCTCAGCCTGCCTCAGCCTCAGCCTGCATCAGCCTCAGCCTCAGCCTCAGCAGCATCAGCCTCAGCCTCAGCCTGCTCAGCCTCAGCCTCAGCCTCAGCCTGCCTCAGCCTCAGCCTCAGCCTCAGCCCTCAGCCTCAGCAGCCTCAGCATCAGCCTGCCTCTCTCAGCCTCAGCCTCAGCCTGCATCAGCCTCAGCCTCAGCCTCAGCCTGCCTCAGCCTCAGCCTGCCTCAGCCTCAGCCTCAGCCTGCCTCAGCCTCAGCCTCAGCCTGCTTCAGCCTCAGCCTCAGTCTGCCTTCAGCCTCGGCCTCAGCCTCAGCCTGCCTCAGCCTCAGCCTGCATCAGCCTCAGCCTCAGCCTCAGCCCTCAGCATCAGCCTGCCTCAGCCTCAGCCTCAGCCTGCCTCAGCCTCAGCCTCAGCCTGCTTCAGCCTCAGCCTCAGTCTGCCTTCGGCCTCAGCCTCAGCCTGCCTCAGCCTCAGCCTGCATCAGCCTCAGCCTCAGCCTCAGCCTGCCTCAGCATCAGCCTGCCTCAGCCTCAGCCTCAGCCTGCCTCAGCCTCAGCCTCAGCTGCTTCAGCCTCAGCCTCAGTCTGCCTTCAGCCTCGGCCTCAGCCTCAGCCTGCCTCAGCCTCAGCCTGCCTCAGCCTCAGCATCAGCCTGCCTCAGCATTCAAAATGTGGCCCGGGAATGGAGTTCTGGGAACTCGAAGAACACGAAGTGGCCTACAGTTGGCTCTGGGCATTCAAAATCATGCCCAGGAATAGAGTTCTGGGAACTCGAAGACCACGAAGTGGCCTACAGTTGGCTCCGGGCATTCAAGTCATGCCCAGGAATAGAGTTCTGGGAACTCGAAGACCACGAAGTGGCCTACAGTTGGCTCCGGGCATTCGAAATCATGCCCAGGAATGGAGTTCTGGGAACTCGAAGAACACGAAGTGGCCTACAGTTGGCTCCGGGCATTCAAAATCATGCCCAGGAATGGAGTTCTGGGAACTCGAAGACCACGAAGTGCGTTACTGTTGGGTAAAAAAAAGTCCCCGGATCCCGTCCAGATCTCCCCGGATCCCGTCCGGATCCCGCCCAGACCCCCTTGGGGAGTCATGATGCTTTCTTTTGACACCACTAGAAACCTATCAGTCTTTGCTGTTAGGTTAAAGAACCGTATGCGGTGACATTTTTTGTTCTAACATAGCACTTGCTCACGAATCCCTTGCAATCAATGGGACGAAGTGCACACGCGCGCGTCGTCACGCGCGCATGCCGAAATCCTTCAAAAACCTTCGGTGCTGGAAGGATTTCGCAATCGAGTTTCCAAAAAACATACAAAAACACAGGGTTTCGCAATACTGATTTGCTAAAAGAGCTTCCGCGCGCGCTCCTGCGAAATCTTAAGAAAACCATAGGTGTTTCAAGATTTTCACAAAATGCTATTAAACGGGTTTCGCGCTCGAAATCTGTCGAAATCTGTCGAACGCCCTTGCGCGTGTGCCGTCACGAGAACCCTCTGCAAAAAACGGGACGAAGTGCAGACGCGCGCGTGGTCGCGCGCGCATGCCGAAAACATGCAAAACCCATCGGTTTCGGAAGGATTTCAAAATCGTGTGTCCAAAAAGCCTACAACAACACAAGGTTTCGCAACACGGATTTTCAACAAAAGCGTGCGCGCGCGCTCTTGCGTCGTCGTCGTCGTCGTCGTCGCCGTCCTCCCTCCTCCCGCGTCGTCGTCGTCGTCGTCGCCTACGTCGTCCTCTGTCTTTCCTCGTGTTCGTCGTCGTCGTCCTCTTTGGCGTCGTGGTCGCTTCCGTCGTCGTTGTCGCCGTGGTCGTCCTTCCTCCTCCTCCCTCGTCGTCGTCGTCGTCCGTCGTCGGCGTCTCGTCGTCGTCCCTCCTATTTCGTTGCCGTCGTCGTCGTCGTCGTCGTCGTCGTCGTTGTCGTCGTCGTCTTCCCTCCTCCCTCGTCGTTGTCGTCGTCGGCGTCGCCGTCCTTCCTCCTTCTTCGTCGTTCGCGTCGTCGCCGTCCTCCCTCCTCCCTCGTCGTTGTCGTCGTTGTCGCCGTGGTCGTCCTTCCTCCTCCCTCGTCGTCGTCTTCGTTGGCGTCGTCGTCGTCTGCGTCGTTGTCGTCGTCGAAGTCGTCGGAGACGTCGTCGGTGTCGTCGTAGTCGTTGTCGTCGGTGTCGTCGTAGTCGGTCTTCAGAGGTTTTGCAAACCAAGTTGCGGGTGGGTGGGTAGGGTGTTTGCAAGAGCGTGGGATGCGTCAAATCATGGGTAAAAATCAATTCTCCTTTCTAACAAGAAAATAGACTTTACCCCCCCCCCAGAGTTATCGCTACCCATTTCGGGTGTGTAAATCACATACGGTTCTGACCACATGTCCATCCTAAATATCAAGTCACAATGTCCCAGGCCATCAGGGTTCCCCCCCTGAGGTCCCCCTTGTAAAAAAACATTATGCGGTGACATTTGTTGTTCTTACATAGCACTTGTTTACGAATCCCTTGCAAAAAACGGGACGAAGTGCACACGCGAGCGTCGTCGCGCGCGCATGCCGAAATCTTGCAAAAACCTTCGGTGCCAGAAGGATTTCGCAATCGAGTTTTCACAAACCATGCAAAAGTACAGGGTTTCGTAACACTGATTTGCTAAAAAAGCTTACGCGCGAGCTCTTGCGAAATCTAAAGAAAACCATTGGTTTTTCAAGATTTTCACAACATGCTACCAAACGGGCGTCGCGCGCGCATGTCGAAATCTGTCGAACGCCCTTGCGCGTGTGCCGTCGCGAGAACCCTCTGCAAGAAATGGGA